CAAAACCCCAAAACCCCAAAACCCCAACAATATGAATTTAGATGAGTACTAGGTTTATGATAATTAGAATATTTTTAGTATCAAAGCAAACTAATAATAAAATCAAAACTCAAATATAGATCCATTTAGCTCAATTGAAAAACCGTCAGTGTCTATCTAAAGTCAAAGCCATGGTTTTTCATATTCTCCATTTTCAATTGTACCAGATAAAATCAATAACAGCAGCAACCTACACTCCTCATTAGCGGCATCTCAGTAGCAACTTGCAATGGATGCTTAATTTTACTGTCAAACTCAAAATCAAGACCCATTCTACTTCTAAAAGTAACAACTTTAGTAAAGATCACTTGATTAGGAGATCTTAGACTCTTTTATGCAAAGACTGCAGTGCCCCTTAGATGTAGATTTCAACTTCAGCCTCCTCTAAAAGGTTTAACACTCTATTTTCAATAACAAACAAAACCAATTAATTGAGAATTTAAAGAGCTACTTCAAAGATCAAAACGAAGCACTCTTTGAGTAAATATAAATACAGGAGTGGGATAACCAAAAACTTCAGGATAGCCTTATGAACATTAATAGAAGATAGCTGATGAGAGCGTAATAGCTAGTGAGAGAGGGAATGGAGGAGGAGGCATTTCATATTGCCTGCTAAGTTAATGATAGAATGAGTAAAGCATTCAGCAATGCTCAGACTATTCTTGAAGAGTTGTATGGGAAAATAAGAAATGCAGTCAAATATTCTGTTCAAAGCATATCTTCATAAATTATCAAGGACTCAAGCATGACTGAGTTGCTGACAGTAAGACCGACCTAATAAATTATCAAGATAGATTAACAGCACTTCAACAAAGACCCCTAATTTTTGAATGATAGTAACCAAAATTAGTTCAATGCTTAGTTGGTAAACCAAGACTCTCTAATGATGGATCAATAAGATGAATTCGGAATACAATCAGTTAAAGATCTTTAAATGAATAGCAACAATCAAGGGTATAACTTTCAAGTCAAAGTTGAATAGGAAAAAATAGGACATTCAATCAATAGTTAATCTGAGACCAAGATTGACTTTCTAAACAAGAAATTTTAGGGACATTTCAGATAACAGTCATAATAAAGTTTATTAACCCTAAATGGGTTTGAGGAAGCAGACCAATTCATTAAAAATAATCTTATCTGCTATTAGAACTTTAGCATAGTTTCAACATAGAATTTCAACATAAATCAAATATTCGTTCTAACATAGAACCAATCTTAGGGAGATATTAGAGTTTAGTCTGTGAAACTTATAAATTGTGAAACATCAAATGTTAAATTTCTGTTTACGCAGATAGACAGACATTTTCTAATGATAACTGTGTCACTACACATCACAACCATTAAGATTAGAAATATACTTGTTGACAGCAGAATAGGCCAGATAATCAGTAAGAAAGATTAGTTGAGCCCCAATCCCTCTGGGTTCAAATGCTATTATAGTCAGCCATACTTTTGTATGCTCTTTAACATGGCTAAGTTATTAGTCGTTGATATTTAGGAAATAATAAGGAATCCTTAGCAGAATCAAATAGAATTCAATGAGGTTTAGACAATGATCAATATCTAAAGTATCAATTAATCAATATTGTTTACTAATCTTAGTGGGAAGGAGCCTACAGAACTTATAGGATTCTTACTTGATAAGTAAAAGATGCAAACTGAGTTGCAAGAATTCACTATAGAGGTAATATCTGAAAAATAAGAACTAAAGTAGTGGAAGTAGCTTTAAATACCTGGTATTGATGCTTAAATTTAACTTAATGGAGAAATATATGTGATGGCTATGAAGCAAATACTTCTAAATGAATATGTAGTATATGGGAAGGTAATCAATTAGAATATTTATGCTCTTGACCATAGATCAGTTTTAATTTTCGGTGGGTATAATGAAGAACTAGATGAGCTCACAGATCATTAGAATAGAATATTAACTCAGTATGAAAATCTGCAACTTTTGAAACCAGACTCCTTTAGCTATGAAAATTGCAA